TATCACGTACACAGTGTTGTACATCATACGTATGTGAATGTACCGATTTTTGTTTTGCAAGAAAGGATATAAAACGTATTCCTACTGGTTCATCATCATTTGTTGCATCAAAAACAATTTTTGTAATTTATGATCTAGAAATCCACACCAAATGTAAACAAACAGCTCATTCTGCGTTTCTGGGTCCTAAAACATCGATATTTGTAAAAATATCCGCATCCACCTATTATTTATCGTCTAGATATTATAAGTCACAATCAAAAATATCTATTTATTGGTTGTCGGAAAAGTCATGACGCTTTTTTTTTGTTTATTTTAAGGCCATTTTATTCATATACAGCACAAAATTCAATCAATAATGTATTGCCCATTTTGATCGATGACCTTTCGCCATCTTTCAGGCAGCTTCATAATTCCTCGCTCGTAGAAGGATTTGTCTTTACCGGCAAAAAATTGAACAAGGTGCTGATGTACAGCTTCATCTGAAGTAAAGCGTATTTCTCGCAAGGAATTTTGAAGCGACCGAAACAAATGAAAATCAAATGGGGCAAGATCAGGCGAGTATGCTGGATGTGGTAACACATCCCATCCTAACTCCAATAACTTTTGACGAGTGAGCAAACTTGTGTGCGGTCTCGCGTTGTCATGGTGGAACACAACTCCTTTGCGATTAATGAGCTCCGGACGTTTTTGCATGATGGATTGTTGCAAACAGTCCAATTGCCGACAATACACAGTTGTATCGATGGTTTGGTTCTTTGGCAGGAGTTCGAAAAACACGATCCCTTTAAAATCCCACCAAACAGAGAGCATCACCTTTTCCTGATGACTCTCTGCTTTCGCGATCGTGTTACGCGTATCTACACTTCGGGACCAAGATCGTTTGCGAACCACATTGTTGTAAACAATCCGCTTTTCATCTCCCGTTATCAAGCGCTTTAAGAAAGGATCGTTTTCCTCACGTTTAAGGAGCATATCGCAGATGTCTACACGCGCCGTCAAATGAACCTCTCTCAGTTCGTGTGGTACCCAACGATCGAGTTTGCTTACGTATCCCAGTTTCTTCAAATGGTCGTGAACGGTTGAATGATGGATTTTTGAGGTTTCTGCACTTTCCCGTGTGGTGTAATGTGGGTTTGCTCCTACCAATGCCTTTAATTCGTCACTATCCAACTCAGTAGGCCGCCCTGATCGAGGTGCGTCATGGATATCAAAATCCCCATCTCGGAATTTGTTAAATCATCTCTGGCATTGCCGTTCTTGTAGTGCATGTTCTCCATAAACCTTTCTCAACTTTTCACACGCTTGTCTTGCGTTCTTGCCTTTGCGGAAGTAATACAGCAAAATGTGACGAAAATGCACAGTTTGGTCGTCCATCTTCAACGTCCTCTAAAATCGACGAGACTCAAATAAATCACTTAATTTCTTGGTGCAAATGAAGCTTGAAGTGTCAACTGTCAAACTACACAATCAACATACAAATGACATTGACTCACGTACTTCCAACCATGCAATTGCATACTTTGTTGCATATACGTCATGACTTTTCCGACAACCCAATATGAAAACATATCTCCATACATTGTTATATTTTCTTGTTATTTCTATTATTATAACACGGCTGGGATATCAATTTCTTTTAAAGTGATCTGCACATCTGCAGTGTTACCGAACCGGCAAAAAAACGGAATCGGTAAATAGTGTCGATGAATTCGGTATAAGGAAATGCCGTCCCAAGATCAGTGGTAGATCAAGGACCTTTGAGACACGAAAAACGCCTGTTTTTGAGGGCATAGTTCTATATTACAACTTCTACAATGTGCATACTGGTCGCTCATTCAAAGTACTTTGCAACCATTCTGGAACCTCCTTTTTCGATTCGTACTTATAGGATTGTGAACATTTTTCTGTTTTACCCCTGAACTCATGAACTCACCTCTCATTTTAATTAAATAGGTATTTATTTTGAAAACCAGACAGGTTTCGGTTTTTTTACTGCTTGTCCGGTGATGAGGTAATGACGGTAATCTACCAGTCTGTACCTTTCGTATGCACAAAAATCAATTCAGGGCAAGCAGATTAAGGGATGAGGATGTGCGTTCGTAATCATAGGCAACCCAAATCTACGCCTCATGTGCCCGACCGCCTGAGTGTGTATGCATATGTATGATTGCTATGGGGCATAAAACTATGAAGACTACATAAAATTAACTTTTAGCTTTATTTTTGGTTTCAGCTCTTCTTCGGCAAGTATACAAATATTTAAATTATTTTGAATAATCGTGGAGAATGTTATCGGTAAATATTCTCTTTTCGATAAAAATACTGATAAATCCAGTTCAAGTCCATGCATAGACAATCTGAAATTTGCAATATGAATGTATATTCTAAATTCTATGCATATCCGTTCACATTCGTCAATATTTCATTTGAAGCTTTTATTTGTCAAAAGATTTCAGCAAAATGTAAGATAATAAAAGCAACACCGCACCCTGCAGCCCAGTTGACAAGAACGACAAGCTGTCAAGATTAGGGATGTTCTCATCGTTTTATGAAGTATCGATACTCTAGAATATTGGAATAAAATTATCGATATCCAGCGGGAGGAAACAAAGCAGAAAAGCAATCTGAAGTTAGTCACCCTTTCTGACATAGTCCGGATGGAAAGATGACGATACTCGTGAAATGTATCCGTACACCCAAGTGTCGTACATAAAACTATCGATCCAAAATATCGGGTATGGGAAGCAAAAGTATCGATACTTCTAAATATACGATCGTATCGAACATCCCTTCTGTCAAGATGTATAACCAGAGGTACCAACGCAGCTATTTTGGGGCGTAATGAAAATAATTTTAAATTTTCATTTGCATTTTTTCAAGTGTTGTGCAACGATTTTGGGTAAAATTACACGTATAGCCTTATAAAGCATACTAGAGTATATTTCAACAGTTGGCAGAGCTTACTCCACTGGGACCAAGGGTTGACGGATCCCACACATGTGTCACTCGTTGGGAAGTTTTGAAATGTAATAATCAGTTGTTATTCAAATAATGTCTAATATAAATATAACCTAGAATGTGTACTCAGTGAAACAAAAATGTTATTTCAAATTCTATTTTTTGCAGGTTTTGAGTTTGCCGGTAGCTTTACGACATATACAGGGTGACTTCGAAGTTGAGTCATTTATTTTAACAGTGAGTAGATCTGATCAAAAGAAATGTTTTTTTCCTTTACCATTTTTCTGGTAAAATTAAAGTAACAAAGTTATAGCCCTTTGGAAGTTTGAGTACCGCCCTGCCTATTATATGCTCGCGTTTGGCGACAACGGATATAATCCGCCTGACCGGTTCATCGCATCGGAAACAAAAAAGCGAAAGAATTTGAAACGTTTATCACGATGTTTTTCGTCAGTCGATAACGCGTAAGTGAATAGTAGTGTGTTGCGTGGTTCAAACGAAATCAAAAGTGGCACATGTTTACGAAAATGCTGAACTTGTGGACATGATTCTTATTTACGGGGGGGCAGTCTTTACAAAATGCTCCCGGATGCATCACGGATTTATGCGAATCGGTTTCCCAATCTAGTGCAACCAACCCCTCGTGCCTTTGTTAATGTAGTACAAAGGGCTCGTGAATCAGGTGACTTAAGACCTCACAGGTGAGGGCATGCTGCTCCAAGACCGCACGATCAAATACAGGTCCGCACTGAAATACTTGTCGGGAGGATACTTTATTAAACAAGGTAACATTTTTTTTAATTTTTTTTTTTTTTATTTTTACACACATATTTTGGTTTATCTTCCTTCTACAATCATTATCTGAAAATTAATGACTCAACTTCAAAGTATTTGTATTTGAGTATTTTTCAATCGCTGTAAATACAGTGTAGATGTTTGTTCAGTTCCTGAACATCAAAAAAATATTTCTATGCATGTATGGATATCAAAAATCCTGAATGGTTTTGTGGGAATATCAATCGACGGTGCTATAATGGTACTGATTAACGGCAAGTAAATGAATGAATGTCTGGAAACAAGCAATATCTATGAAATTTTTGGTAGAGCCTGTCATCAAGTAGGTGCTTAACCCTGCATAACTCGCGCTATGAGCATTTCGCTCATTTTCTATGAAAAACAACGATCATTTGGCATCGACGCGGGGGACGCGCCAATCCCCACTTCTAGCTTACTTTATAACTGTACTCTTGAAGATGTGGTGACGTGGAATTTAATTAGTTCGCTGTGTCAAGTGTTACGGGACGTTTGTTGACTGATTGCAAGCGAGGTGAGACTTTTGCTCATTACGCGAGTGATCGTGTACCATTTTTTGATCTGGAGAGAGCATTTTGCTCATAGCGTGAGTGTCACTATTACGATTGTTCCTGTATGTTTGATGAGGCGATAATTTTTATAAGATTCAACTGGACAATTTTAACGATATATTGGGTGATATGCATAAAGGCGAGTGGCTACTTTTGACTCGCATTTTTAAAGTAGCCACTCCATTTGATATGCATAAAAATGTAAGTAGAAGCTCACACTCATAAGTTCCTACTCTTTCCGTGAGGCTGTACTCGCTCCTTGAGTGCCGACTTTAATTTTTATATGCATAAAAGCGAGCGTCCACTTCGACCGCTGAGTACATACTTAAAGAAATGCGAGATACCTTAGTAGTAGACTCAGCTTTATAAGAAGTCGATGTCTTCACGAAATGGCCGAATTTATGCCTATTTATCAGCCTACGAAGGTGTTTAAAGATCGTAGGGAATCAAGGGAAGTAGACTATCGGGCCTTATATCGGTTTAGAAAAGTTAAAATAAGTATGTTAATTAAGTAACCAGTTTTTATGTTTTGAATCTTCTTCCAAATCTGCCCTTCATTATATTTAACTCTTAATTCGGCTTTACCTTTTCTTTTATTTCTTCAACCGCCTGACGTCGTTTATTTTTGATTTCCGGGATGTTTAATTATATTAACAAATACTGTTTGATTTTCAGACAAATGGCTTTCAGAATAGGTTGAAATCATGTAAATGAACAAATAATAATCGACCTAAACACCACCGACACAAACGTTTACCGGTATACAGTAGTAACTGCTCGCAATAGAGAAATTGCCAATTCAGCGAGACAACAAAATACAAGTCGGAACTCGAAAACCAAAGTGCCTACTCAAGTATTTCATTAGAACTTGAGTAGCCTCTCCGTTTCTCGATAAATATTTTATGCATATCAAAACCGAGTAGGCTCTCCCTAACAGGAGTAGTTACTCGCTACAATATGGAGTCGCTACTTCTGAGAACCCACTCACCTTTATGCATATCACCCATTGTTGTTTCAGAGTAATAGAAATGTACAGCAGAAGCAAAAAAATTGCCGATCTAGGCCGAGAAATATACGATAGAGCTTGTATGCAGGAAATGTTGGAGAGTGTTAGTTGGACTGTCGCCACAGAGCCAGTGGAAGAAACTATTTTGGACAATAATCAGTTGGATATTGAAAGTGACGATTCAAGTGAGTTCAGTGAACACAATACCAACTCAGAGCTGTCCGAAGAAGAAAGTGTTAGCGATGTTAAATACAAAAAATCAATTTCACTGGTCAACATTGCTTCGTGGGTAAAGATAAAGCCACCCAATGGCTGGCTCATGCATCCTCACGACTGAAAACAAGAACTTTACGTAAAAATATTGTCATTCATCCCCCAGGCGTAAAGAGAGTGGCACAAAATGCAAAGACTGAAAGGGATTGTTGGGAGTTGTTTATGATACCAGCGATGATAGAATATATTGTCGGATGTACAAACATCTACCTGAATAATCTGCGCAAAAACTATGACCGTGAACGAGATTGTCGACCAACAGATGCCACAGAACTATATGCCTTTTTTGGACTTATATACATGGCCGGGGTGAAGAAAAACCAATATTTATCCACAAAAGAGTTATGGGATACCGATGGATCAGCTGCTGATTGCTTCCGCCTTACAATGTCAAGAGAAAGATTCCACCTTCTAGTGAGAGCCATCAGATTTGACGACATAAATAATCGAGAAGAAAGAAAGTCCGTTGACAACATCACCCATATTCGGCAGCTTTTTGAGGAGTTTGTTGGAAAATGCCAAGAAAATTACCAAATTGGGGAATATTGTACGGTAGACGAAATGCTGGAAAATATCAGAGGAAGATGCAAATTCAAGCAATATATTGCCAGCAAGCCAGCGAAATATGGAGTGAAAATATACGCACTGGTTGATGCAAGAATGTTCTACCTTTACAATATGGAAATCTATCCAGGAAAACAACCAAATGGACCATACACGCTAGATAATTCTGCATTTGCTGTAGTCAAGCGTATTGCATCTCCGATTCTAAACACTGGTAGGAATATCACAATAGATAATTTTTTTACATCAATACCTTTGGCTGAATATATGCTTGATAAAAGAACTAATATAGTGGGAACACTTAGAAAGAACAAAAGAGAGATTCCACCAGTATTCTTAGAAACGAAGCAGAGACCAGTTCCTAGTACCATGTTTGCATACCGCAAAGATATTGGGTGATATGCATAAAGGCGAGTGGCTACTTTTGACTCGCATTTTTAAAGTAGCCACTCCATTTGATATGCATAAACATGTAAGTAGAAGCTGACACTCATAAGTTCCTACTCTTTCCGTGAGGCTGTACTCGCTCCTTGAGTGCCGACTTTAATTTTTATATGCATAAAAGCGAGCGTCCACTCCGACCGCTGAGTACATACTTAAAGAAATGCGAGATACCTTAGTAGTAGACTCAGCTTTATAAGAAGTGGATGTCTTCACGAAATGGCCGAATTTATGCCTGCAAAGGTGTTCAAAGATCGTAGGGAATCAAGCGAAGTAGACTATCGGGCCTTATATCGGTTTAGTAAAGTTAAAATAAGTAAGTTAAAAAAGTAACAATTTTCTTGGAGAGACAGAAGAATATAGGGGCGGTGCTTTGAGCAATATAGAAAGAATGAGGGTTTTTTACGATACGTGGGAGGATTTCAAATTGGCATAGGAGAAGATATTGGTGTCCATCAATCTACGGTATCCCGAACCGTTACCAACGTTATAACACGCATTGTGCAGAAGTCGAATATTTGGATTAGATTCTTCCCAACCTCATGTGAAGATCTACACAATGCTAAAAATAAGTGGCAAGAAACGTTCAATTTTCCTTCAGCTATTGGTGCTATCGACTGCACCCATATACCTATTCTGAAGCCGTTTATGCATGCCGACAAATATGTGAACAGAAAGAACTTTGCTAGTATAAATGTACAAGCAACGTGCAATTCAAACGAAGAGTTCACAAGTGTGGATGTTTCTTGGCCAGGATCTGTACACGACTCTCGGATATGGAAGAATTCTGATATATACAACGTTATGAAATGGAATAGGGCTAGTGCTGTTTTGTTGGGAGACTCTGGGTATGGTATAGCTTCTTGGCTCATGACTCCTTTTAGGATTGCAGAAACATCAGAACAAACATCATATAATCGGCTGTTTACGAGAGAACGAGTTATAATAGAGAGATGTTTCGTTCAACTAAAACAGCGTTTTCCCATTCTACATAACAAAATACGCGTCGATACAGAAAAAGTGCCCTCCCTTGTCATGAGATGTTTTATCTTGCATAATGTGGCTAAGCACCTTAATGATAAAGATTTTGCTGTTTATATACCGGGAGATGGCGAACAATAAGAAATACATAACCAACATACTGCCGACTATGCAAATGGAGTGATACGTCAGAGAGGTCAATTTCGAAGAGATGCAATGTGAAGAACTATTCATGGCTTTCGGGTCTAAGTAAGTATCTAGCATGATCTAAATTTAATCTGGTTTTTATGTTTTGAATCTTCTTCCAAATCTGCCCTTCATTATATTTAACTCCTAATTCGGCTTCTACCTTTTCTTTTATTTCTTCAACCGCCTTACGTCGTTTATTTTTGATTTCCGGGATGTTTAATTATATTAACAAATACTATTTGATTTTCAGATGAATGGTCTTCAGAATAGGTTGACATCATGTAAATGAACAAATAATAATCGACCTAAACACCACCGACACAAACGTTTACCGGTATACAGTAACTGCTCGCAATAGAGAAATTGCCAATTCGGCGAGACAACAAAATACAAGTCGGAACTCGAAAACCAGAGTGCCTACTCAAGAATTTCATTAGAACTTGAGTAGCCTCTCCGTTTCTCGATAAATATTTTATGCATATCAAAACCGGGTAGGCTCTCCCTAACAGGAGTAGTTACTCGCTACAATATGGAGTCGCTACTTCTGAGAACTCACTCACCTTTATGCATATCACCCATTGTCTTGGTCTCCTACAAACCAAAACCCAAAATGTTCTTTTATTGTCTACGTTCCATTCAGATGGACATCTTGATCCTGAATCTGGCGTTTTGCAGAAGCCGGAAATAGTGACTTTCTATAACTGTACGAAGGGTGGAGTTGACGTAGTTGATGAGCTGAAGTCCAATTACTCAGTGTCCAGGTTCTGTTGCCGATGGCCATTACGAGTATTTTTAACAATACTGGATGTAGCAGGTATTAATTCCCATATTATCTACAAAAGTAATACATCCAAAATCCTGGCGCGCAGAATTTATTTGAAGAACTTAGCGCTGCAACTGATCAAACCACAGATGATTACTCGTGCATCGATTCGAACTTCACCACTGGATATTCGAACCCGAATCAGACAAATTTTGGGTATACCAGAAATAGACATCAATGCAAGCGTATCAGCACCAGGATTTCGTGGAATATGCCCAAGAAAAAAGAATAGAAGGACAAAAAAGCAATGTAGCAAGTACAATATCCCCATATGCAACGACCATGTCACATTTATTTGTTCTACATGCTCCAATTCGATAAACAACTTGCATTGGGCAAGTGAATAATTCCTTTATTTTACTAAGCACACGGTTCCTGTTTTAGTTCTAATTATATTATGACACAATATTATTATTTATATAATATAAATTTTGAGTTGTCATTAAATAAATCTAACAGTTTATGTGCATTATTGGGAGAACTTGCATGTAAAAATGCCTTTAATATATCTTAACCCAATTGTAAACTGTACGTGAGCAAAATGCTCACGCGCGAGTGATGGTGTAACTTTTACATGCGCGAGTGATGCAGGGTTAATGGCTATCTTCAAGAGGTTCGCATGTCAATTGAAGAAAATAATAAAAACATGAATAAACAATGGACAATATTAAATAAAAACATCAATTTTATTCAAAAATCGAACACTTTTTTAAATTTTGACTAGATTATATGTAATTTCTTAATATTCAAATATTGTTGATTGTAACTTGAAGCTCATTCGCTGTATTTGACGGACTGTTACCCTATAAGTGGAGAATAACGGACTGTTGATTTGACAATCCTGGTGAAATCCAACCTTAGATTTTTTATTTTTCTGATAACTGTTATGATTTAGCTTAACCCCGTTTCCGGCCTAGCGTAGAGGTCAACTCGTCTGTCCTCCTAATCAACCGGAAAAAATCATTTTCCCGTTTTATTTAAAAGAAACAGTCATCGACTTTGGGTTCGTAAAAACAGAAAGCACAAAATTTGCCAAAAATTGACGCATCGATCATTGGTAATTTTTTTGCCTTCAGCTCAGATTACTGCTCTGCTGAGCTGAGGAATATCAAAACTTCTAGGTAAGTACACTGCATCTGATATAATGATAGACATAAAAAGGAAGTAAAACACTTACATAATCTTCCTTTTCAAAAGTCATTCAAAACGAAGCTCATACTCGTATGTCATAAACTCTTAATAATTTTGTTTAGTATTGTATATCTTCTTATCGTACTGTGATAATGGTATCATACGTGACGTATAACTTAAACGAGAAGATCTGCACAATAAAATGTAAAATATGTCCTGAGCATAAGTTATGCTCTAAGCAATACACAGTGTTGCGTATATTTATTTCCCTGGGAGCTCTAATCCCCATATTTCCTGAGGTCGTCATCGATGTGATTTGACATTCTCTGACGATACAATAATATTTACAATTCTCATGTAAACTATAGTCAAATACCAGAATTGATGACATTAGTAGAAGTCATCGTGCGCCACTGCTTTGATGAGGTACCTTTTGATTACAGCGACGTTTGCCAACATTTCACAGAGAGGCGCCGCTTTTTCAAAGGCCTCCGCGTAATAGCAGTGTCGTACGATGAGTTTCGCTACTGTCATCAGTTTTGGTATTTTACTATAGCAGAAGTTATGATCATTTGTTTAAAAGCTTGAGAGGTTATGCTGCTGTCAGATGCTGTTAGATCGTATGATGCCAGAGCACATTAATATATGAGAGAGTTTTACGGTCTTTTAGGTCTTAAAAAATTATAGTATTAATCATTTTGGTCTAATCCAACAAATATTAACTATGTAAGACCTTCTTAAAAAAGTGTCAGAAAGCCTATTGATCAAAACTTGAAGAACCCAAACATTCGACATCAGTCTAAATGCAGCCAATAGTTTTGACGAGCTAATACAGGCAAAACCATAGAGAACTGGAGCAGTCAGCGCACCGTGAGGCAACAGTAAACTGCAGTAGCTTAAGTTCTGTATGAATGGCCATTTATTTTTCTTGTCAGAGCGAGGCATCTGCTGAATTATATAATAATTTGTTTTTTACAAGTTTTTTTATTATAGAAGAATAGAGAATAACACAAAATAATCAAAGCACTAAACACAAAATAGTTAAGTAGGCACGACGTACTAAGCCCCAGCAGTGGCGTAAAGTCGTATTTTTGTGTTTGTCGTTTAAAAATATCGGGTCTTGTTTTTAGATAAGTGTGGAGCTCAGTACATGATTTATTCATATTTATCCTCGTAATCAAAATAGCTTTCTTTACTGCATCACTTAACTATGTCTTATCACTTGTACATATTTTGTTCATTTGAGAGAAAACTCTTTCGACAGGTGCGTTACTTCCAGATAGGCACAAAACGTACTCAGTAATTATGGAAGAGATTGTTAAAGCTAAAATAGGTAACCCTACAGATATTTCACATCTGAGGCCGATAAATATACTACCAGCATTTTACAAGTTATTAGAACTAGCCATGAAACATCAGGTATCTGACTACGTCTTCTCTAATGGTATTATTCCTGAAATCCAATCGGGTTTCAGGAAAACCACAACACCACACCAGTTCTGACTAGCATCACGGATGACTTAATCAGATGTGTAGATCAAGGAAATTTAGCGTGTTTAGTTTTACTTGATTATACAAAGGCTTTTGATACTCTGGAACCATCTATTCTTATGAAAAAACTTATATACTTTGATTTTTCGGAATCTGCAATTTATTTGTGTGTTAAGTTATCTCAATGACAGAAGTCAGATGGTTGTGATTGGGTCAAGTATCTCGGAGGAGATACCAGTTAAACTAGGGGTACCACAGGGTTCCATTCTGGGACCATTAGATTCTCAATTTACATTTCTGACTTCCACGAGTACGTTGCAGTATTCATCTCTATGCTGACGACACTCCATTGTACTTTGGCTATGATATTAAAGATTTAAAAAATGCCGAACATTTGATTAATAATGATTTAATAAATTTATCTAACGTATCTTATACCCGCAATTTCAAAATTAACCCATTAAAATCATCCTCAGTTATATTTGGGCCAACAATCAAAAAAAGTCAGGCAAAACCATTACTATCATTGAGCATTTTAGACCAACCGATCCCTATAAAAAAATGAGCGCAAGAATTTAGGACTCTGGATTGATTCTGATTTGAGGTTTGAAAAACGTGCAAGTCAACTGTGCCGAACATCATTCGGTGTCTTGAAGCAGTTATTTCCTCATAAGAAAAGTATGAATACTGGTCTCAAGCTGAAGTTGCGCAAAACCTTAATATGGCCTTGAATTCACTACTGTCACTGTATTTATGGGCCTGCACTAAGATCGATTGAGATAAGGAGACTTCAATCTATTCAAAATGCGTGTCTCAGATTTGCTGGTGGAGTGAGAAAATTTGAGGCAGTGTCACATAAATATCGTGAGCTGGGTGTTCAAAAAATAGAAGAGCTACAAAAAATGAACGTATTGACCTCGTCCCATAAATTAATCACAACACAAGCCCCTCCATACTTATTAACCAAATTTATCAGATACTCAGATTAATCAACTGAACACAAAGAATAAGCATATCTTGGTTATCATGAGTTGTTCAACAACATTTCTATTTAAAAGGTCGTACATATACAGGGTGTTCCATAATTATTGCGACAAAATGATAGGGGTTGTAGAGGGCATCAAAATGAACAATTTTGCCTTATAAACCCCTGTTCGGAAATATGCCGTTTGGGATACAGCAAAAAAAAAGATCAGTTTCTTGAAACAGCTTACCTACAGTAATTGCTCAAAGTGTTCTCCACCTTGCTCAATACACAGCTGTGCACGATTGTTCAATGATCGGCGAACTCTGTGGCATACCCCCGGTATGTCCTGAACATGTGCGGACGCGGCCATCACTCTTCCCAGTAGCTCTTGTTGGTTGGGAACAGTAGTTTCGTACACTAAAGCTTTCAGATGGCCCCAGAGAAAATAATCCAGTGGGGTCAGGTCGGGTGACCGCGCAGGCCAAGGCACAGGGCCACCTCGGCCTATCCACCTATTTGTCGTCCAAATACTGCCGCACTTGTAAAGAAAAGTGGGCTGGAGTGCCATCGTGTTGAAACCACGTGTTGGCTCTTATGTTCAGTGGCACATTTTCTAATAGTTCCGGTAGCACATGCTGTAAGAATCGACCATAAGCATGCCCATCCAAACGTGGTGGAAGCAAATATGGCCCGATGATATGCTCGTCCACAATGCCGCACCAGATGTTAATTGAAAACTATGTTGGTCTCTATGGATGGCTATGGCATGAGGGTTTTCTTCATCCCAAATGTGACTGTTACGGCTATTAAAATAACCGTCCTTTGTGAAACAGGACTCGTCAGTGAACAAAACGTAGCGACCAAAGTTTGGTTGCCTCAACTCCTGCTGCAGCCACCAACGACAAAAACGTCCACGCGGCAGATAGTTTTCTGGACCCATGGCTTGGACTTTTAAAAGGTGGTATGGGTGTAGTTGCTGGTCATGGAGAACCCGCCAAGCAGTAGTTTGAGACGCTCCCATTTCATGTGCTTGTACGCGGATTGGCCTCTAGTTTGACGCACCATTCAGATAAATTAAATGAATCGGTGTGGAGAATTTACGATAACAAAAATGTAAACACAGCAGGCTTTTTTTTACAAATCGGCGAGACCATGAAATGTGCTAGACGAACATTTTGCAGCTGTTGAATTTTTTGTTTCTCTTAAGGTAAAATTAGCGGTAGTGCTCAAACGGCATATTTACGAACAGGGGTTTATAAGGCAAAATTGCATATTTTTATGCCCTCTACAACCCCTATCATTTTGTCGCAATAATTATGGAACACCCTGTATACTGCTATCAAGCTATACAACGCGTTGCCTACCGAGTTCACTCACTACTCTATAAAGAATTTCAAAAAAAGATTGAAGCATTTTATCTCTGATTTCATTGCCCAGTAAGACCATGGCCATGAATAGGGACTCGTTACAGGTTTTTTTTTAACCTTTTTGTTTTCATTGGGATCAGAAAATTTACACAATAATTTGTTGGGTTAAGTTGAAAAACGCTTTTTAGCGACACTTCGCCTTTTTATACTTTGTATAAATAAAGCCGGATTATTATTATTATTAAAATGAAGATTGTTGGTACGGAAGTGCTGGAATAATTCGACCCAACGGTTTTTAGTAGAAACCTCCTCGGCATTAGTCATTATCGTTTCTTCTGTTTGCGAAAACGGCACGGATATTATATAAAACTCTCATAAAACGTCAAAAAAAACTATAGAATGTCTTATTGCAGACTAGGTAGATTTTGGGATGCAAACAGTCATTTCACATTTGCGCACTGGGATCGTTGTGAGCGTCCATCTATGGAGGAATAGCGCAACTACACGAATTGTTGGTTACATATGTTTTGTGAAGCCGAGTAGTCTATAGCTTTCATCTTTTGGTTGAATAGCAAGATCGCATCAATCTGGATGATGGTGCATATTCAATCAGTGATATTTGCTGTGTGAGAAAATCATTACTGAATGTGCTGCCGATGAAGTATATGTATTAGCTGTGCCCGACGAGTTATTTATGTGTTGTCCTTTCTAAAGACAGGTTATGCTCAAAGCTATAAATTACGATTTTTCACGTTTCTTGTGTTTTCAAAACTTTGAGGAGAATTACGGTAAATCACCACCACGCCCGCGTTGTCTGTAATTACTGTTAGCATGTATATGACTTGTAATTTGACAGTGTACAATGAATATAACTATTTCTTATATCTCTCATTTTTGAAATTCAGCAAATTCAGCAAAAAATGGATGCGCAACTAATTTCTAGCTTTGAATCTCAAGTAAATGTATTTGATAGAAGAACCCAATGGTATTATTATCAACCTATGGGGTAAATCGAGGTTATATGGCCATAGAGGAGAGATGGCCCAACTCGATATTTTCCTAAATAGTTATTAGAGGGCGTTTTTTTCAATAAGGCGTAATGTACTGTTGTGTGATCGTCCTATACTAGAAACTCTGAGTCAATTAACTAAGTTTAAAGGTAGGTTATTTTAAAATTACTGTTTACATGGGTTCAATAGTTTTTGAATACAATTTTCCACTAGCCAAATTTCATAAAATTTTATTAGTTTTTAACAATCCGTCTGGATTTTATTTTACCATGTGTGGTGTGTTTTATGTTGCCTAAGCGTTTTGCGCGAATTAACGTATATAAAATCTAAATCATGATATGGCGATCTTTCCTCGAAGAAAAGGAGAGATGGCCCACTTATTTCCTATGTATGATGGCTATCGCAGATCATTTGTATTTATTTTAGATGCCAAATATTTATAAAAGAAAATCATTGGAGAGGGTCAAATGGACCGAGGAGCAACTGAAATCTGCAATGAGTACTGTTAAAGATGAGGGATTATCTGTACGTCAGGCTGGAAAAACTTATGGTATTCCGAGAAAGACATTGGAAAGGCGAAAGAATGAAGACCATAAGAAAAATTGGGTCCAGATACTACTTTCGGAGCTGCCCATGAAAACAGACTGGTTTGGCATATTAAAGAAATGCAAAAAGTGGATCTCCACTTACTAGAGATGACTTGAGAACCATAGCTTATAAATTTGCTGTTCAGCTGGGCTTAAAACATAAATTTAATAATCGGCTTCAGAAAGCTGGTTAAGTTTGGCTGCGAGGTGCACAGCAATGTCTAGAAAGGTAATAGTTGATAACTTTAAAGTACTGCCGAGTGTCCTGGAAGAAAACAATATCTTGATAAACCCGAAAAATATTTTTAATATGGACGAGGGTGGATTGCAACTAAATACAAGACCGGGGGAAGTTTTGGCAGTAAAAGGATCAAAAGTAATTTCGTCAGTTGCTTGAGCAGAAAAGGCCGAGACTGTAACACTTGTTGCCTGGTGTAACGCCGAGGGCACTTTTCTTCCTCCTGTCGCTATTATGAAAGAAAAAAATTAGTTAGTTTTTTAATGTGAGTTACTTTTTTGGCAAAAGGATTGGCTATTGAGTTTTTAGTTTTTTTTCTGTTATATGTAATAATAAAGTCTCATAGGTAATTTACGAGTATTCTTATAAGACTCATTACTTTCTTTGAATCTTATATGGCCATCTTACCTTCTATGATATGGCCATCTCTACTAAACACTATAGGAGAGATGGCCCACATATAAAAAATACCGATATTTATCAACAAAATGAAAAACCATATTTATAATAAATTTGCACAGAGCAACAAATAATAATTACCATGCCCTACCCTAAAATATTATATTTTTTGTTAAAACCCAATTATTAAAAGTATTACAGACGATTAAAAAAGTATGGCCATCTTTCCTCGGTTTACCCTATTATTAGCCCATAAGTCCTCACTATGCATCTATGCATGGCTGTTACCTCCAGTAATGCCATCTCTGAAGCAGATTTTACATCACATCTGAGCCAAGCATTGATAACTGAAACCGTATGACGTTTAGTCAACACATACAACTACAAAACGAGTTCACAACGTGTCCATCAGCTTATGCCAAGTTAGCATCTTGTAGAAAAACCTGCATAATGTCACAAAAAACCAATATAATGTAAAAAAAACGAAATAATGTCACTTTTCAAGATACGTAATACCCATGTCGGCCCCACTGAGGACACAAAGACAGACAGGCTGAAAGCAGGACTGTCCCTACTAAAGTATGGACACGCTTTGTATAAACTACCACCTGAAAATCAGTCTGTTGGTTGAAATCCAATTATTTTAATGGTGACGATACTATGAATAGCAACGACTTGGAAATATATCAAGCACACTGTCAATGTTAGTAACCAGAAATTAAATTCTGATAATCTTATATTATACTGAAGTCAGATTTTATCTTCACTACAGAAGTCTGGGGTAAAGTTTTCATCCGTGATATACATAAAGAATGATTCGAATGAATACTGTCCCATATATCTATAGTTGCGGCTGTCGTCCAACAAAAAAAGGAACGATAGGAGTCTTCCGAAAAACCTCCGTATGCGCGCTCGCAAAAAAGGCAAGAAGAAGGATACGTAGAAGACGAAGAAGAGGCCGACGACAAGATTTAGGGCGAAAGCGGCGGCTGACCACGGGCGCTGAGGCCGTGTCTTGACAGCCAAGATGCGCGGTTAGTTAGCAACTATTGCCCACCAGATGTCACCACGGTAGCGGGTGACAGCCGCGGCTAATGTATGTCCCAGATAATCAAAAGACATAGGCACAGGTTCGGAGCGAAGCATTCATGGTGTTATCCATACACCTGCCTATGACTGACTCAGTGAGTGTGTGCTGTACTAGAATCAACCAATTACAAACAGCGGTGCAATATGCAAACTCAAGCAAACGATATATTCAGCGTTGCCAGAGGTACGATAATTATCGTTTCTGCACGATAACTTTAAGTACTGTACGATGTACGATACTATGTGTAGGATAATAGCTGAATGTACGATTAATTTTACGAATGAGCTTTTTTACTCACAGATGTTGAATCAATGTAACAACTACGTTAAATTAATTTCAGCGAGCAGCTGTCAGTGTTGCCGCTTAGTAGACAAGCGCGCATACCCCGCTCTGTATAATGGGTTGCCTAACATTACGCGGACTATCTCGGCTAATATCAACGGGAAATTTGCCATCAATCAGTTCTTACGTTCTATGTATTGACATGACGCGCATATTTTTGTTTACCCATGTTCATTAGATGAAATGAATCCCGTTTTTATGACATTTGAAACTTAAAAATCAAAAGATCGTGTTCAGTTATTTTAAATATTTAACCGGTTTCAATTCAATAACGATAATATGTCAGATTCCGAATCAAGTTGCTCTGGAAGAAAGAAGCACAACAAAAGATGCGATACTCTCGAATACAGAAAATAAAAACAAGGAGCGGAATCTTTGAAGAAAGCCAAACATAGACAGCAAGCTTATAGGAAAGAGACGGAAATTTTCCTTCATCATGAATCCTGAGAGAACCTAAGGCACAATGTACGATTATTTTGACGTGTTTGTACGATAATTCCCTGCGACGAATCTGGCAACGCTGGATAAATTATATCATTTTACTTGCATGAAGTGTCATACAAACTGAACCTAAATATAGTTAATATTGTAGGAGACATTGTCTAAGATCAATGCTACAAAATTTGTTACTATGCTGATTGGGCCAAAGCAGTTAGTATTAGAGTGTTAGGAAAGTTCTAGCGGTTTTTGATATTTATATTTTAAATGACGTATTTTACACTAAAATTTATTCGTAACAGTTTGTCTTTATATGCCATTTTAAAGCGCATTTTTCGATTTATCTAGTCGCTGTATTCGTTTTGTTTTACGATAATTTGTTTTTATTTTTTTGAGGACTAGGGGATGGATGAAAATTTGCAGGATTTTCTTATTCCACCAAATTAGGTGGAAAAGCTGCCGAGACAGCTCGCGATATCATCGATGCATTTGGCGAAGTAAAAACTAACGAACGTACGGCACAATGATGATTAAAGAAATTCCGCAACAGTGACGAATGACTTGAAGATGAAGGATGCAGTGTTCGGCCACATGATGTCGACTACGACGAATTAAATGCCCTGGTGGAAGCAAACCCGCGCACAACTGTTCAGGAGCTTGCGGAGGAGCTTGATGTGGGTATTGTGACCATTTCTGACCACTTGAAATCGATCGGACAGTCAAAAAAGCTCGATGAATGGATACGAATTGAGCGAAGATCAGAAACCTAAAAAAATTGACCAAATACTAATGCTTAACCTAGTACCTAGAGTTTACTAAACGATTTCCTCGTATTTTAAACTAGATACGGGTATTTTCTCTAGGAACTTCCAAATACGTGGTTTGATCTTAGCAGTATCTGTCGCTACCTGTCATACGAAACGCGTGCAGGCAGCTTGATTAATTTCAGTGTGTTGGTAACCTTCGAGCTTGGCTTTTAGCTAAAGTTTTCGATTTTGACGCCCAAGTGTGGAATTTGAAACAATGTGCTCGAGGAATATTGGAAACAGGGGAAAAAGTTAGTTTCCTGGCTACTAGCTCTAGAGTGCTTGCAGAGAATTTGGATATTGTTAGTACCTTCAATGCATTTTTTCCATACCACAGCAGCGGTATAGGCCAGCAGGGAAAGGTACAAATTAAATGCATGAAGGTAGATGATTTTGAGTTTTGGAAAAGCCTCCGTTCGGTTAGTAAAATTAAAAAGCAAGATCCCAAATTTACTAATAACGACATGTTGATGCACAATGTAAGAAGCTAGATTTTTTGGTTAAAAACATATTGGCAAAATACCAACACCACTAATCAAAAAGTCGCCAAATGGTGGAAACAAAGTTGAAAAATTGTTCAAAGCGGATGGTTCCATCATTACGGATAATAGGAAACGATTTTGCAAGACGCTTCCAGAAAAAGTTGTCGACTAAATGTTCCTTGATTTGAGATACATGTAATGTGTTTTAGTTACCATTTACATATATCAGCTATTTTTTTCATTTGTTCTACTGTGTTTCTTTAAAATTAGGTGATTAAAAAATCCATGTATTATTAAAATTATTTTCAACTGATGAATAGCCGTATTTCCTATGACAGATACCACAGATATCTGACAAATGAGATTATTATTATCAATGTACTAGAACAAATGCATGTATTCGCCAAGTACGAGGCTATTGCATAGGAAATCAGAGAAAGATAACTAAAAATAATCTTCGTATGGGAGCTAAACATGTAAAAACAACAAGATAAGCTTTTTGAGCATACCATACGATCTTAGAGCCCGTATTACTCAATATGGATATCACTTATATCCAATATCCAGTAGCTTAGTCCAATCCTGTGTGGTATCGGTATCGCTTTAGTATTTCTTCTTCCTTGCGCGGCTGTGAGTCTAGAGCGGTATGTGTGGTTGGCGGTTGGTCGGTGGGTCCGTCGGTCGGCCACACTACAACCATAACTCGCTGAATGCCAGCCTCTGCAGCTCTTGGCCGCTGCTTGCTTTCTCACCACGCATTATCTTCTCAGAAGTGGACAGGAAGGCAAACATACACCGCCGCATACCCTTATTGCCCCATACAGTCACTTTATGCTAACCGTGGCTTTTTTGTTTTGTCAGCCAGAATTTCATCACGCATTCACCCTTCTTTGGGGCAAAAAACATGTCTAAAAAGTGATAAATTAATGCAACAAAGTTTTGGGCAATGTCGCTATGAAACCATCTAAACTGCAAGATCATCTGAGAAGATGCCACCCTGATAAAACAGAGAAAGATTTGAAATACCTTCAAACACTCAAAGATAAATTTCAGAAGAGACCTACACTGCATAGAATGTTCGCTTCGGCGTCACAAAGAAATGATGATGGTTTGCGGGCGTCTTACAATATGTCGTTACTTATAGCAAAATCTGGAAAACCGCATACTATCGGAGAGAAGTTAATTTTGCCAGCCGTTGAAGAGGTTTTAAAAACTGTTTTACACAAACCTGCATCTGATATCATTAAAAGAATTCCCTTAAGCAACAATACTGTTGAAAGACGTAGTGATGAAATGAGTTCTGATATTGAAGGCTTCTTATGTAAATATTTGCAAACGACCCATTTCTCTATACAACTGGACGAGTCAACTTTACCTGATAATGCAGCATTATTATTGGCATATGTTCGTTTTATTATGAATCAAGAAATCTACGAAGAACTGCTCTTCGCAAGAACTTTGATAACCGACACTAAAGGTGAATCAATATTTCATGTTTTGAAGGACTACTTCATTGCAAAGCAATTCCATTATCAAATATAATATCAGTAGCTACAGATGGAGCACTTGCCGTGGTTGGACGTTATCGTGGATTTATAAGCTATTTAAAACAAAATATGTCAGGGGTGTTAGCAATACATTGCGTCATCCATCGACAACATTTAGTTGCTAAAAATTTGAGTGTTAGATTGCATGAATCACTTCATTTAGTCATTGATGCAATAAACCGAATCCGAAGCAACGCGTTGAATACGCGGTTATTTGCACAGTTGTGTGAAGAAAATTACGAACACTTTCATCAATTACTCCCTCACACTGAAGTACGCTGGCTGTCGAAAGGCTTATGTTTGACAAGATTTTTTGCACTTTTTGAGACTATTTTAGAATTTCTGGATACTAAAGATAAAATTTTGAATGAAAATTTAATGAAGAGGAAAACAGACATCGCCTATTTAACAGATTTGTTTACAAAATTTAATATGGTTAATTTGCAATTACAAGGCGACAGTTTAAATTTGATAAAAACAAAGTCCAACTTATCAGCGTTTCTTGCCAGAGTTAAACTAATGAAGCAAAATATTGGACGGGGCGAATTTTCTCAGTTCCCCAATTTGTCACAGACAAGCTGCCAGGAAGACGACGTTTCAACTTACGTTCAACATTTAAATGCCCTCTATTCAGATTTTGATTCTAGGTTTGAGGATATTTTGACTATGGTAATACCACCGTGGATAATTAATCCATATGGTGACATAGAAGAAATGAATGTCATAATACAAGAGGAACTGATTGAACTAAGTACAAACGAAGAACTTAAGGTTCAGTTTAAAAACGGATATCAGCAATTCTGGCTGCAAAACAACATATCCGTTACTTATCCCGTATTATGGAATATAGCGAGGAAATTTTTAATTTCCTTTCCATCGTCATACCTAGTGGAAAGGGGGTTCAGCGCTGTTACGAATCTCCTAACGAAGAAAAGAAACAGACTGGACATCATTAGCCGAGGAGATTTAAGATTAACCCTTACAAAATTGACGCCAAATGTTGATAATTTATTATTAAAGCATCAGGTTCATCCTTCTCACTAAAAATATTGACTTATTGCTTATGTTATTTTATTTATAGTTTATTTTATGTTTATTGGTGTCTGACCAATAAATGCCCGCATTGGGAATAAGTGCCCGCATTGATTTTTTTAAAGAACCCCCCTTTATAGAAAATATTTTTTTTTAATTATTCTGAAAATTCGTTAATTTTTTGCCTATTTTTAGATAACTTAAACGTATAAGAAGCGGAATTTAATCAAACTGACAGTGAAATTATTGTAGAGCATACGTTTATGTTATAATTAATAAACGAACTCGCTTATTGTACTATTTCAAGTAAAAAACTTTTTTTTATTATTTTTCACTTTTTTTTATTTTATCCCTCTTATTTTTTTTTAATGCGGGCACTTATTCCCAATGCGGGGACTTATTGGTGAGACACCTGTTTATTTAATGTTACGTATATTTGACATAACAGATACAAAATTTTATTTTGAGTAGTTTTAATTTAAACTCAATTAATAAATGTATAAATTAACATGTGTTTTTACTTTAAGTTTTTAACACTAAGCTTCACTACAGTTAGAAATTTACAGGAAATCAATATCAGGTAAGTAGGGGGTCTACCCAACACGGAAAAACATGGCAAGAGGTCTACGACACAAAAAAGTTTGGGGAACTCTGCCCTAGATCAAAAAGACGAAACTTCAAGCGTATATTTGAGTATGTACTGCAAGATCCATGGTGTAAATTGAATAATTCTGAATGACGCTCAACAACACTGTAACAGTACCTACATAAATTTCAGGCTCGAATTTTACTATTAGATTAAAAAAAAAACAGGAAAGGAGGGTACGCATAGTGCACATATTTGATCATCTACTCGAATGTAGTACCTAGTACAATTTTGCGACGTTGACACGAGCAGGTGGGTTGAGAATTAATCAACGCTAAGTCAGTCTCATGCTGATGTGCAAGGTGTCTGGCGATAAAATGAATAAACATTAATCAGCCACGTGGTGACTGGGATATTAAACATGCACGGAGATCTATACATTTCCAACAAATAGCTACTATGCACACTCCACAGTGATCAATTTTAGTGATACTATAGATGGCGCTCTACGCTGCCTTATTATATAGACCGCACCTCCTAGATGACGCATAGTCTTAATGCTTTCATTCGTTATCCCAGAGACAATAAATCAAGTCCAGACCATGCTGATGAATAGCCAAAAAGTACGAAACAGCTGCATGGCTGTCTTTTGGTCGGGCTAACGGAAGCATCATAATTAGTTTAACCGTCAAGTAACTTATATGACAGTTTAGACCGTTTAGATCAAATAGATTTATAAACAAGTAGGGTCCAATATGATGTCTCTCATGCAATGTGTTTTTACTTATCACGCCACTGGCGTGGAAATATTGGAAACGCCAAAAATTTCGACAATGGGGTACTCTGGTTTTTGAAATGTTCAAGGAGATACACAGTCTGCGAAAAATTATCGCCATTTGTCAGTCAATAAGCCAAGGTTAAAAACTGCTTTAAAATATACTAACCTCTCCTATAATACTCTTCGTGGTATTATAGGGGAGGTTTTGAGCTTTTACTAAGGTACCCGGGGGTAATAAGGCCCACCTAAGAAATTATAATTAATATCTACGAGAGAAATTTACTTTTTCAAACTTTTATTATTATAAAAAATAGAAAAGGGTATAAACTAACATAATGGTAATGTTTCAACACAAAATAATCATGCTTATATGTCGAGACGCGAACATTAAAAAAATTGTCTTCTGGGCCTTAAAGCCTGCAAGTGCATATAATAAGACCCATATTTAAATGAACAAAAAACAAGTCAAACGAATAAACAAAACACAAAAAAAATCAAAAAATAAAAAGAAAATATTAAAATAATGATATCCAAACATAAATATCAAAAATATCCCTTTGGGCCTTAATATCTGCAACGACATATAATGAGATTTGAATGAGAGATAAAAAAAATAACAGTTCAACAAAATACTGATAGAATAAAAAATAAATGTAACACACTAAAAAAACAGTATCAAAGATAAAATATGGTATTAAGTATAAATCTAATACTTAAGGCATACAGTCTGGACACAAAAAATGTTCAGTATCGTCCGCAGTCAAACCAGCACAATCCTCATGGACCCAAAAACCACAAGAAGCACATCGTCTCATATCTGCTACATAGTCTTCGTAGCAAATCACACAGTGCCATTCTTCGTTATGTTCTTTTGTTTTTGATGCAATGGAAGACACAGATTCAGATGGCGATTTAGCGGTATTAGATAAGACTGGAGCGGGGTGCGTGATTTCTAAACCTGCTACACTTGTGAATAAGACCTGTCTGATTGGTTGAGTGTCGTCATTGTGGAAACGTCAAAATTTGTTCACTGTCAATATTTGTTAATGTCTTGTTCATGTTTAATTTGTTTTGTTGTAAAGAGTAAAAGATTAAAACATTTTTCCTTATTTATTGAAATAAACAGTCCACATGAATCTTGAAAATAGTTACAAATGAAGAATTATGGAGAAACTGTAAGTAAAATACTCTAGTTCTTATATTTTTTTTCAAAATATTGTTATCAGTTGTTATTTTGTAAATAAACAATGTTATTTACTTTATTTTAGTTCCATGCTATTCTACCTTTAGAGGAAGGGTATATGGTCAATCACGGATACACAAAGAAATAATTTGGTTGATGGCTTTGTAATTGTGCTTTATGTGAATACTTTCAAAAACACAGAGGCTTCAAGAGAAGAGCAAAGTTACGTTTCGAATTAAAAGAATATGTCCCAAGAACACTCAGAAGATTATATTTAAGGTTGGTGTGGATATAATGAAAAAAGACTAATCTGTGTCCATGCATCTGTCTTTTTATTTATTCTTTGTATCCCCACCTCTAGATTTCATGTAAATAATTTAAGATCTCATAGTTATGTCTAGACTAGAGTCTCGCTAGAGGATGTTCTGTGTATATTTTTATTAAATAAAAAACTTTTCAAGCTTTTTCGATGAAAATGCTATTGCTTTTATACTCCTCTTTTACATAATATCTAGAACTTTTGTGAATGTTCTTCATCTTAATGGTGAAAGCATCTGAATGACATGAGGCATGTTTTTTTTTTCAAATTGATATTAAGCCATCACTGCTGGGTTATGAATAATTTTAATTATTGATAGTTTACGCCTAGCTGTTCCATATCAATTAGACAGTGAAACAGTGGCAATAAAAAAACAGCAAAATTACAGAAATAGAGTTTATTATAATTATAGTATATATAGTATAATTTGTATATTAGCAAATTTAAAATTACAATTAATTAATAAAGGGTGCCTATCTTACAAGAGTTCAAAGTTTTTGTGTTGCTACCTTTCTTATTTTATTTGAATTTTATTAAAAATAACCTGTGGATTCTTTAAAGAAAAAAGTCATATACCTACTATAAGTATGGCACAAGCATGAATGTTAATAATAATCAACTGAAAATAAAACATACATAGGAACACAAACATTACTTTTTTGAATGTGTCTTACCCAAAGATATATTTTGAGTAATACAGTATTCTAAGCAATGTGGTGCAGCAGTTTTATTGTCAGGATTGAAAACTTCATAATTGTGTTTATTTTTTTCTTTACTGTAGGCATGATCTGACAGTTGAAGCCTTTTTGGAGGTCTGCCACTTCGAGCAATATTTCTTCCCCCTAGTCCCGATTTTCGTCTCATTATTGCTGTTGGCTGCACGCCTATTCTATTTCCACCCTGAATATTTTTTCCTGATTTAATTTTAGGAAGTCCTGTCCCGTTATATTTACCAAACGTACACAATGTACTTGTAAGAGATGAATTTGTTTTACAGGATTCCACATTCTTTAAAAATTTTAAAATAGGTTGATTGAATTCATCAAAATTATTTTCAAACCTGTTCATAAGTAAATCAACAAAATGTTCAAGTTGTCCACGGATTTCTTTTTCAATAGTTGATATCGGTGGAATATCATTTAAATTAATGTCGATATTGTGCAAATCTGGAGAGCGACAACTGGGTACCTCAATAGCTGATGAATTGTTATTAATTTTGACAACTTCATTAGCTTTGGTGTCATTCAAATTTAAGTACCATCCTTCTATTTCACAGTTAACACCATAAGTCACTATTAATTAAAGTAGGATGGAATTGCTGCGAATTTAGGGCAAATTGCGTTACAACAGCCAATTGGTGTTTACAAGATCCACCTCTATTGCCCATATAGCATGTACAACTTTCAATTTCTGTATTAACAATATAATTATTTTCTTTAGATTGAACATTATAAATATTTTCTTCTATTTGTGTACAAACTTTTTTCGTTTCGAGCCTTCCCATCTTCCATTTATCATATCAATAATTTTTTTAATGTAAAACTCTTCAAAATTTGTCGTTAAATAATCAAATAGTTGTACTATACTAAAAGCGTTTTTTCTTAATAATATTTTATCTTTTAATACTCGAAAGGATGCTTCAGAATAATTATTAGTATTGTTACCCCGAGTTAATAAATTTGATCTGTAACACATAGCCCATATTTCTGCCCTATTTTGCAAGGTAAAAAGATAATTTTTTAACTTATTATTCTTTTCTACACATTTATTTGATAGAAGCATGCTATATATGTTCTTGAACCCTTCTTCAGAAACACAATTTAAAGATTTTCTAAAAAGCTGAAATATACTCACTCTTTCATATTTATCAACTCCATTAGAGCTGTTCCATAAAAATCGCATAAAGGATTGTAGCACGTGAAATTTGCACAATATTAACGACGCATCTTTAAAACATGATTTTAAACTGTTTCTTTCAGCATCACAATCATCTGTAACAATTAATTTTGGAAAGTTTTGCCCATAAAACGAATTTGTTGGTGAAATGCTCTGAAGGAGCTTAACAGCATTTGTTATTGATTGCTCTGACTCTGAATATGTCATTACAATACCTAATGGTAATGCCCCTACAGCTGAAGGGCACAAGAATAAAAATATTCGACTATTGTGCCTATCCATGTTCCCCGAGGAATCCACGAACATAATTTCGCTTGATGCACGAATATAATTATGAATTCTTTTCATAAGTGGGGTACAAATTGCTACAACTACATTAGTTGAGTGTTCAATGGCTGCACATACACTTTCACATTTAATATTATAATCTTTTATTGCATTTTCCATTGACACAATCATTTCGACACCTGTAGGCTCACCATATTCTCTTTTGAATATTTGATAGTACAGATCATATACCCACTTCAGTGTTGGGCATTTACTGCCATCAGCTACAATTTCATTGTACCTTTGATTGTGATTTTCATATAATTCATCTTTAAAGAGACTGTATGCTGTGCTTGGTGAATGTCCTTTAGTGAATAATAATTTAAATTCTTCCTGCAACTGTTGACTAGGTGGACAAAACTTTAGTGCTGATGAAATATATATTGAATGATTATGGGTGTTCCTTAAAAAAATTTCACAGGGGTACTTCTTTAAAAAGACATCATTGCTTCTGAAAAACAAAAAATAATAATTAATCAATATTTTAGTTACTTTCAATTATTATTACCTTTTCATTTCCTTGTTTTTAATGGTTACAATCATTTTGGCATTACAGTTTAGATGCTTTTCATGAGGCTTAGTATTTCGTTTTGGTTTTGTATTATGAATGCAATGGTATTCCTTCTGAAATTCAATATATTTTGGTAAATAATGATATGATTGTTTTGTTAAGCATTAAAATATTACTTAAATTGAAAATAGTTGTGCTAATTAAAACTAAATAATATAAGCCAGAATCGAAAATATACACCTTAAAAATAATTTTTTTGGTATTCTCTGCATGACATCTCTCTACCCTGAAAGAAATTTTGCTTTTTTCTTGGAAAAGCCCCAACCATCGAAAAGCTTCCTCCTTGCTACATATATTCAAACGAATTACTGTAGAAAATCCATTACTCAAAGGTTCTGAACTTAGAACAATTCCTTCAAAACCATCACCTGTAGGCAACATATTCTGCAACTACAAATATAGACAAAAAATAGTATTAATCCTGCCACCCCTAAATTTTCAGTAGGTAGATATTCCTAGTTTATGATTTGCTACAAAATACTTACAATTTCTCTATGATCAGTGTTTAAGACAGAACTAAAATCCATTTTTAAGTGTTTAAAATGACACGGCATGAAATCACACTATTCAGTATTTACTACTTGCAGAATGTTACAACCGTCACAAATATTTTCTGAGAGTACTGAAAGTTTTGAAACTTTAATAATAATCCCGAATCGCAGGACGAAAATCACAAAATTAAACTTCCGCCTTGTATTCTAACCTCAAACATCAAAATGGTAAACGTCAATTTATAATATTTTCTGGGCATGTTTTTCCGGGACCAATCGCAAAGCAGCCATTCACAAGTGTAGCAGGTTTAGAAATCACGCGAGCGGGGTCAAGTTGAGACTCCACCTCCTTTAAAAATACGGATCGCTTGACTTCAACTGCTTTGTAATTTATAGCTTTACGTCTTGGAGCAGATTTTTTTTGACTAGATCTGGTGTTGGTAACACTTCCGCGAAGGAATTATTCAAAGGGATTAATTTTTTACGCAATTCACCTAAAGGCAGGTAGTCATCTGAATCATATTCCGAATCATCGGCAGCGGCGGTCGTCTCCTGGTAAGGTTTCTCACTTGCAAGACTTGGGGCAAATGCTTCAATGGGAAGAACATCCTTATCATAAGGGCATATTCCCGTAGCTCGAAAGCCGCTTGTAATATTTCCAGTGGGCATTGCTTTCTGCCATGTAGGTGTCAAAACTTCAGAAAATCTTTCCCTGTTTAAATCACGTGTAGGATGTTTATCCCAGTACTTTAACAATTCATCGTCCCAATAAGCTTCAAATGCTCGAAATATAGCTTTGTCCATCGGCTGAAGCTCATGGGTGTTGTTACTCGGCAGACAATATAAGTGAATCTCATGAGCTTCTGCTTTCTCAGCAATGCTAATATCCAAATGGCATTTGGCCCCATCAAAAATTAAAATTACTGGCGGAGGCGACATGTATTCAATGAAATGGTCTAACCACTTATCAAACGTTTCTATCGTCATGCTTCCTTTAGACGTCATCATAACTTTTGAGCCAGCCGGTAAGCCATCTGAGTAGGTTGGCTTCATTCTCTTGTCCTTAAAAAGAATGACAGGCGGTATGGCATGTCCGAGAGCATTAGCGCAAGCGACGATAGTTGCGTTTTCGGCGTGTTCATGAGAAATTACATGCACTCGTTTTGCTCCTTTGGCTGCCAGTACGTTTTGTTGGTGGTGAAGAGTCAAGCAGCAACCCTTCTCGTCCATATTATAAATTTTTGCTTCTTTATTTTTTAACTGAGTGCGCTCCAACAAATCTCCTAGTTTTTTGAAATGATCTTCTACGATAAAACGATTTAATTTTTGGGCTCTTGCTGGATTCATGAATTGAGATCGACGTTTTGATATTCTCGGACGATTTTTCAGAAAAGTCCTTATCCACTCCCTACCAGCGAGACGAGTTTCCTGATTGAAACAATGCTTAATTTTCTTTTGCTCAACATACCTGAACACAGACCTTCTTAATGCTTTTGGTGTTAGCGGAAAACCTTTATCGGCTAGCCGAATTATTTTATTCTCAAGGTCAGTCTCTTCATTATCGGTCAAAATTGTTTGTCTACCTAGTTTTCTCTTCACGCTTTGTGATTTAATGTGGTTCCTAAGTGTTCGTCTGGGTATTCCGCATTTTTGTTCCACCCAGCGCTGAGATTTTCACTCGTTAATATAATTTAATGCCTCTCTCATCATCTCTTCATCCCAATTTGCCCTTATCCCTCTGCTTTTTTTACCCATCTTCTGTAAAAGAATAAATAAATCTAATGAATACGTGTATTCATGGCGGCAGAAAATAAAGCCCAAGCCTTTTTCAATGCATTGTAGAAAATAAGGCCCGGGCCTTATAACCTGTAGCACAATAAAATTAATTTTGAGATTATTAAACAACAAACAAACCCAACATAAAAAGAAACGCTACGTGAAATGAAACTATCAGATACATAGATTATCATGCATTCATAATGAAAAATCTACGTATTATTAAAACAATTTAATTTGCTTACTAACCGGTCGAAATTCTTATAAAATACAGCACAGCGAAACGTGACACCATAGAACAAGCCAGGAAGCTCATAACCATAGAACAAAATTACATTTCCGGCAACAGTAATAATAAATATTATTAACAGATGGCGATATAAATATTTTAGGCGCTTTCCTTTGGGAAAACCAGCGTTGGGCCTTAATATCTGGTGGGCCTTATTACCCCCGGGTACCTTAATACAGTTAGCAACCCCAGAAATGACTTATTATTAACCTAGTTGCTGAGAATCGAAAATGACCATTTTTAGGCTTCTTCAGATATTAAATCCCTTATAATTCTGAAACGGTAAACAACTACTCAATACTTTTTTGTTCATAGTGATCCGAAAAACCTGAAGGCGACCAACAAACGTTATTATAAAAAAAAAAACGAGATGTCAATTTTCCCCACGAATGAGAATTTTTCGCCTCATCTAATATCCAAGCAGCTCTTCAAAACTGATTGAATGATCGCTGGAGGTCACTAATTGGCCAATTTAGAATAAGTAGTTGTAGTTGATAAATTAATTTTTTTTTCTTTCTTCCAGTGCTACAAATCCCCAATGCTAAAAAGTTTTATTGATATGTAAATCATGCGACTACTCTCATTTATATATATATACTCTCGATTATACTAACCACAATCAGGGGAAGCGGCGATATTAGCAGAAAACAAAGAAGTTCTCGGTATTGTAATCTCCAGTTTGCTGTAGTTTCCACATCAGTCATCATGGCTGCCTCTGGTGATCGACATTTTTCAACAGACTACAAAGAGTCGGTTCCTTCGTTAATGATGAAGTTTTATTTAGATTTAAAGCTAACCATTTTTGAGTTATAGATGATTTAATGTATATAAAAAAGCCTAAGAATGATGGGTACATTGATTGCTTAAAAACGCGGGTAAAAACTAAATTTTTGCAGTTGCCAAGTGACTAAATTAAAGTCCAAAACCTTCCCCTACAATACTTCGGAGAGTACTTGTTTCAGGCGTAGCTTAATTTAAAACATTTTTAACCTTTCTTTGGCACACTGTGTCACGAAGAACGGTGTCACTCAGTTCCTTCAGCCTATATGGTGGTCTGGTCTGTATGTAAGTCTGTCTGTCTGCTAATCGCTAACCCCTCTATAACTTCGCAAATACTATTCGGATTTTTTAAAATTTTCACACAAGGTTAGGTTAGGTTAGTTTTTTGCGAATGGGTCAATCACAATCATCTACAGCGACTAACTGGTCTATTGTGACTCATACTTATATTTCTCCCAGTAATTCCAACGTCCTGCGGAAGTCGATCAACGTATTTGAGGAAAAATATCTTTCAGGTATTCTGCTTAGAGTACTGACCCCCAAGTATGTTTTTTATATAAGTATTTCAACCACCATGAAGGCCTACGGCCCATGGGTACCGTGGGGCTATAGGGAGATACAGGGGAAAGGGGGAACGCCACACGGACTCTAGCTAGGGAACACGTGTGCATGCAGCATCCACACATTCTGGCCCCGCCTAGGAGAATCGCCGGGTGGTACATCCGCGTTCGACAGTCAGGGACGAGAAACATCGGGATTCGAACCCGCGCAGCGCACGGCGACTGATTAGGAGTCCGTAGTGTCTACCAGTACTCTACCGCTGCTGCCTTGCTGACTCTGCTTCACTGCTTCGTCTCCTTCCATGCATAGTCTGCTCATGTGGTGAGCCTTACACCTTAGGGGTTTTACCAGAGCCCGATTAGCCGTATTTCTACTCACTATGGTTAAGGTTATTACTGTGCCAAGCAAGAAAAAGCTTTGTAGTTTTTAAAAATCGGTCTTGTGGAGGCGGAGATAGGGACAAAAAGTAAAAAAATCTTTAAAACATTATTTTTTTCTTTTTAGATTCTACTGATTATTTTCAGAAAAAAGTTTGTCGGGGTTAGAAATGGGCGGTTGGTGTTGTGGAGTGTGATGCGCGGTAGTGTACTCGACACTGGGGAGACATTGATAGATCGCAACGTTGTTAAATGAGTGGGGACTATAGACTAATTGTATGGGCTTGTTTGACTGACTTGATCCGTTTAATTTGTTGTTATACATGTTCGTATCCAGCTTTTTTTGGAAGGAATAACATGTGTCAAACCTAATCCCTAATGAACTGACAATAGAGTTGCGTGGAAAATACCGAGTCAACTTACTTGATACCATTTTTGTATAGAGAGTGCCTCAGGAAAGTGCTTCCAATTCAAGTTGCGTTTTTTTAGACAGAACATTGTGTTATACTTATTTTTTTTCATTACCTTAGTATAAACCTCAAAATTTTATTTCAGATACAAGCGTAACTGAGGGAAATATTGTGACGCACTCCAAATTTCATATAAAAGTCTTTCAACTCTTTGTAGTATCCACATCATTCATTTTCCTCTGTTGGCTTGTCTGTGAATATGCCAGTTTTCTGCTTTCTGTTCGTATCTGAGAAAAATATACACCGACTTTGATGAATTTTGAGGAGTAGTATGCCGTAATTGGCAATATTACTTTATTTTTTAAAACGAGATCAGTGTCGAGGCAGCTATTTTCAAAAAAAAAGTTGCAGATTGTTTCGAACCCTTGTTGCATTTTTTTAAACAATCTTCATGAACTGATTTAACCGTTTTTGGGTTTTCTGATCATTTTAAAGCCTGCGGTCAAGGAATTTGATGTGATAATACTCATCTTTAACTTACGTATACAGTACTTTTCATAAAGGTTACTCTCCCTATATTTTTTGAATGGACAAGTTAGTAAGGTGCAATTGGAGATGTTGTAGTTGATGCAGGAATCTTTTAGCTAAAAGGTGACAGTTAACTTACAGGATTGTGAATCGGTTAACTCAACAACCAATTACCAAATTGTTATAATGTTTTATATCAATCTTCTTAATGTCAAATCTGAAACTGTGATTTTCATGCTCCATGTTTGCCAGGCCGCTATATGAAACTACATTTATGTTTGAAGTACTGTTTACTGATACGGTCACTGTGGAAGA